AAATATTCGAATCCATATCATCTATTACCGAAAAGTTCTGAGTATTCAAACTATCTCAGAAAAGCAAACAAGTTTTTATTTATTTAATAATTCAAGTTAGTAATCAAAGTGACAATTTATAAATAAAATTAGTGATTGTTGTTGGATAATCTGAGTTTATGTTTAAGTACTTTTTTTTCTCTTAATCTTTTGTGGTTAAAAGTGTGGATCATTCAAACAGGGTGGTTTATCTGATTTCATGTCAAACCGTTAAAAATCGTTGGGTCTAGTTTAACTATACAATAAAATGAACAGAACTGTAACAACTTTACTGGTCCTACTGATCTAGTCGTTTATACGATTCGCATCTTATAACAATGGAATCATTCCTAGAAACTGAATAGTGGACAAAAATTTGATGAATATAATATTAGATCGAGCCCATTTTTATGCGTTGGAGATGAGAGTTCAAGTAATAAAGAAAAGCTTTCCACGAGCCAAATATCGTGTCATTATTTTACCATTCAATATTATGAGTCTTATTGGTTTTGTTGTGATTTTTTTATGAAAGTTATGTTATTGATGTCTTATAAATCAAAGATTAAAACTTAAACAGGTAAGAAATCCAAGATATATATACCCATGTCTAAAATCTATGTTGAATATTGTTCCGTATTTTTGCAGCAGAGTGCGGGCTAAATAACTATTATTAGTAAAATCAACTATCACATTTGATTAATCTATTATGTAAAATTAACCTACCTTACGCAAGCTTACGCAAATGATGATATAGTGAAAATGTAGATAATAAAAAAGGAATTTTAGTTAATGATTGAAGGATTGAGGTACAAAAAGTGTCACAGTTTAGTGAACTGTTATGTAAAAATTATCGACGTCACCAAATCTTTATGTAATGCAAACCGATGAATGGTCAACCGTTTATGCTTAATCAATACAAATAACTAAACATAAGAAAAAATTAAACATTCATAATATATATGTAATATATTTTTCATTTACGTAATTTTTATTGAATGGTGTTACGTAAATACTCTGTAATGTGTGTGGTCTAATAATAACATCAAGTTATGAAAATAATTTTCTTTTATTGAATGATGTTAAGCAATGAATTATGTTATCTAATAATATAATCAAATTAAGAAAAGAAATTATAATTTAATTATTTTGTTATATAAAAACTAACTAACTTTACAAAAAAATTGTGTAATTCAAATTACTTTTTATAACTTAATTTTATTATTGCACCAACCTAACCAAACCTTTCATATTCCTTCCTCAATTTACAAACAAATTAAATAAAAATTTATTTGGGCATTTGACGAAGGAATCGATCCTCAAAGCTTCATTGGCCACACGCTGGACTTTGTGTGGGTCTGTTGCAGGAAAAACACTCGGGTGAACAGTAACCTTCATGTATATATGCAGTGAATTAAGAGGGTTCCGTTTTATTTTTACTGAATTAGGAGGCAGTTAATGGGTTCCTTTTTCCGTAAGGAACAATAATTTTTTTTAATAAATGGATGCAGTGCATCCTAACCTTCATTCATAACCAGACGAGACTCGGAGAGTCCCTAAGAGTCATACAAGATCCAGTACATCAACATAGGGTCACTAGCAGGAACAAAATGGAAACCTAAAGGCATAGAATGACCTTGGTTTGAGTGGTAGTCGGAACACTTATTACCTTCCCTATAAACATGGGAAAAAACAACCTCTCAGTCATGCCTGACTAAGGCCTGGAGGCGGTCAATGACTGAAATATGCTGGTGGTCCGGATTTGCGCTGCTGCTAATGAGATGGATGACACAACGAGAGTCCAGCTCCACCCGCACGCGTTGATAGCCCAGATCCCAAGCCAGTTGAAGTCCTTCTACAACGCCTCTCAACTCAGCCCGGGTGATCGAACAAATCCCCAAGCTTATCGCGAATGCTGCAATGCAGTATCTAAGCGATCTCTCAATAGGCCTGCCGCAGCAGTAGAGCCTATGACATGGTGAACGGAGCCATCAGAGTTGAGAGTAACCCACTCGGGAGGAGGGGGCTCCAGGAGATCACCTCCTCCGTTCTGGCAGGCGGACACAGATGGTGAAGAGTTTGGTCCTTGTCCATGGCAGTCCTCCTAACAGTTATCCAAGCCAGGACGCACAGTAGAAAAGCTTCAACTGTAACGACCTTGTTAGCAAACACTCGGTCATTCCTGGTCCTCCAAAGGGACCAACATGTAAGGCCAAAAGATAGGCCGATGTGCTCTTCCTTCAGGTATTTCGCAATCCATTCCTGCAGAGGCAAACTGAAAAAGGTCTGGTAATCAGAAGGTCGGATTAGCCGCATCCAAGTTAACCGGGCAAATTGACAGTCCCGCAACACATGCATGACTATCTCAGGTTTATATCCGCAGAGGGTGCAAGCTTTCTGAGTCGTTAGGTGTCACCATCCTCGTTTTGGATTAGTGAGAAGTCTCTCCCGAGCCGCCAACCACAAGAAATGTTGAACCCTCGCCGGTCCGCTCCCTTGTCAGATTGTCCGCCAATAAAACTTGCACTCTAACTGCTCGTGGTTGCAGGCGATCTCATACGCAGATCGTACTCTAAACCTCACATCCTCCTTCGGCCCCCACGTTGCTACATCACTCCCTAAGTCCGCCATGGGAGGTTGGATCCCTTGAACCTGCAAAACATAAGTCTCGGGGAGAAGAGACCGTAGGAAGTTAGTGTCCAACTCATCTGTCGGCGTCGTGAAGGCCGCAACCGCACATTGGGGGTTGACCGGCAACGCCTCAGCAAATACATGGTCCAGCAGCTGCTCACCGCTGTCAATCCACCTAACAGTCCAAAACGACGTAGTTTGGCCATCCTTTATACACATGGACATTCTCCCCATCATCACTGGCCAGGATTTGCGGATCCCTCTCCAAAGTGTTGAGGCTCGAGACGCAGATTTCCCCAACATCTGGCCCTCTACAACTTTGAAATACTCTGCCTGCAAAACCTGCACCCACAGCTCCTCCGGGTTTTTCAAGAAAAGCCAAGCGAGTTTAGCTAAGAAAGCTATATTAAGTTCATGAGCCCTCCTAAAGCCCAAACCCCCTCCTTCTTCGGTCGATAGGCTGCTTCCCAATTCACCAAGTGCATCTTGTGGGTCTCAGACGAGGATCCCCAGATGAATTGTCGGATCTTAGGCAGGAGAGTAGTCTGTATGGCATACGTCGGCATCGTGCCCAGGACCGACATCACCAAGGTTACCCGCCCTACGAAAGACATGTTTTTGGGGTTTCCAGCCTACCAATTTGTTATCCATATGGGTAAGAATATACATGTAGGTCTCTTTGGTGACTCGGCCATGCAGGACAAGAACCCCCAAATATCGACCCAGATCTTGTGTCATGGGGATCCCTATTCTGCGCGAGATCTCCGAGCACATAGGTTGAGACAGATTCTTAGAAAACAACATCACTGATTTCTCCTTGCTAACCTGTTAACCCGAAGCACGGCAGAAACGATCCAGGCAATCCAGGATTACCTCTCCCTGCTTCTCGGTTGCCTCTGCAAATAAAATTAGGTCATCAGCAAAAAAGATGTGTGAGAGAGGGGGAGCACCTGGCATGATCACAACTGGTTTCCAGCGACCGGTGTCAACTGCCTCACGTATGGTGTGACTCAGCCTCTCCATACAAAGGGTGAAGAGGTAAGGAGACAGAGGGCAGCCTTGTCGGACCCCCCCCCCAGTCGGGGTAAACGTCTATGTGAAAACGCCATTCCATAGGACTTGCATGGTTGGCGACGATATGAAACCCATGATAAGTTCTACGAGTTCAGCCGGGAACCCCACGAGGGTGAGCGTTTCCTGAACAAAGCTCCAACTAACTCGACCATATGCCTTCGCTAGGTCAATCTTCAGAACCATGGTCCCTTTTCGTCCCTTCTTCAGGTTCATGGAATGAACCACCTCCTGCAGGATCACAATGTTGCTTGAAATCTGCCTCCCTGGAACAAAGCTCGTCTAGGTGGGGTGCACCAGATCTCTCATCAATGGCTTGATATGATGAACAAGGCATTTGGTGAGAGTCGTGTAGATCACGTTGCAAAGGCCAATGAGACGAAACTGTTGGATGGTTTCTGGACTTTCTTTCTTAGGAATTAGCACCAACAACGTCTCATCAACCCCTGCAATCAAACGAGGATCAGAGAACATGGCTGTTACAAAGTTGGAGGCATAGTCACCTACCACACTCCAACATTTTTTGTAAAACAATGGAGGAAAGCCATCCTTCCCCCGGAACTTTGAAGCCTCTCATGCTCTTAATCGCCGTCCACGTCTTTTCCCGCGAAAATGGTCTTTGCAGGTCGTCCCTACTTCCCTGGCGTAGCTTCGGGAAGGCTCCCGAAAGACTCGATCGTGGTCCCTCATCCGCCCGGTACAGGAACACATAGTAATCTCTTGCCATTCTGCACAACTCAGCTTCCTCGAACACCCACTACCCTTAATCGTTCTTGAGCCCCCTAATCTGGTTGAAACTCCTCCTCTTGAAGGTTGAAAGATGGTAAAAGCTGTATTCTTATATCCCTGACCCACCTTTGGGCCCTAAATTTCTGAAACCACATGATGTATTCCTGCCAGAGAGTAATTTCCAACTCCTTGCGAACTTCACTTTCTTTTGCACGAGAAGCAGCCGATCCTGCTCTCTCATTTCTCGCTTCCAAGACCCTCAACCGCCGAGCAAGTTTCCGCTTGCGATGAAGAATATGTCCAAACATTACCTTGTTCTAGGTGGTAAGCTCGCCCGTGAGAGCAACCGACGATAATGGAAAAGTATCTCCCCGATCCCAGCTGGTTGAGAGTATTCGACCAAAATCTTCGTGTGCTAACCAGGCAACCATGAAACGAAATGGTTTTGGTCCCGAGCTTCTCGTGAGAGACGTAACTCCCTGGAGAAAAATGGGTATGTGGTCCGAATAGATTCGTTCCAAATACCGCGTCACTGTCTGGGGGAACCGAGTCATCTAGAGTTTGTTGCAAATGGCTCTATCTAGCCGTTGGTGAAGGGTGTCCCTCCGCCAAGTAGATCTCGGGCCAGCAAAACTGACGTCAAGCAGGCCACTGTCATGTAGGCATCTTCTAAAGCAGCGAGACCGAGCCTCCTGATACAGAACTCCCTCACAATGTTTCGTGGGCCCCAAGATGTAGTTAAAATCTCTAAGTAGAACCCGGGAGACGGTGGTTTGCGTGGATAGTCTTCTAATCTCGTCCCAGAGTTGCTGATGGAGAGCAGTGTTAGGGCTGCCATAAAATGCTAAGACCGCTATAGGATCACGCACCCCCAATTTCATGCACTTCAAATGGATCATATGTTCCCACTCGGTAAAGGAGACAACCTGGAGATCTTGTTGATGCCATAACACCCAGATACCACCTGAAAAGCCAACAACGTCCACAATTAAGTTCTCATAAAAAACCGTCTTCCGAATGACATTACGAGCTACGTCCCCGCTGATACGCGGTACCACAATAATCATTAAATCCGGCCTCATGTAGGCGCAAAAATTCCTCAGATAAACTAGAAATTCATCACTCCCTGCACCTTGGAAGTTCCAAGCAAAAATGTTTAACATAATAACTATCAAAGAAACAAACACGCTTATATACAAGGGGATAGAGGACTCCCCTGGTGAGGGGACCGATCAAAGAGGCTAGGAAACGGGAGGTGGCTGTCTTCACGACTTGTGCTGCTCAGAAGCCTGCAAGGGTGCGCTCCGGGTATCCGACTCTCCAGTATGTCCATGGGATGATTTCTGTCCTATCTCGGTGGTCTGACCCGCTCCACGCTTGGTGGTTTTCTGCCCCTTAGTGTGGTTTAGACCCTTCTGGGCACTTGCCGAGGGATGCACACTCTTGCCCCCGTTTTGACGACCTTCAAGCTAGCCTCCGCTCTCCTGCCGAGGGACGTCTGTTGGATGGGGACACTCACAAAAATTATGTATATTGACACTCTCCTCCTTCCTAACTGGTCTAGATAGAGCTTGTTCATGCAAAGAAGTTGAGCTTGCAGGCTTCGCAGGATGGGCCACAAGAGGAGAAGAGGTACTCTTGGGGAGATTAGGCACTTCCCCTGCAAGTGCTTGCTGCATATCATCAGGAAGGACTGAGGAAGTTTCCCCATTGCCACTGTTATCCATGCCCATTTGTGACAATTCCTCCTCGACCAGTGCAGAGAAGCGTGAGCCACCAGGAATAGACACAGCCCGTGGCGTCGATGTAGCTCCACTCTCCTGCAACGGAGGGTTTGTCCTCCCATTGCATCTCGGCTTCGGTTTGACCATCATCCATTCACCATAAGCATCCGCGGGAGTCTCAGTGGCTTTGGGACTTGGTTGAGGTTCCACCGGACTCGCCGGTTGCACTTTCCTAGGGTGACAAGCAGGTTGTCTTTGAGTGGTCATACATACCTTATTCTGTGCATATGTTGTGCAATCCCTCGTACTCCACATAGTATGTCCACCCGTAGATCTTATACTGCCCCAGTAAGGGTTTAGTAAGATCCACCTCGATGCTAACTCGTCCTTATTTTGAGCGAGCACCAGTGGTGGTAGCACGGTCAACCCGGATCGGGCAACCAATTCGAGAAGCAATCCTCTCTACAGCTTCACGATTCAGGAATTCAAAGGGCAGCTCCGGCAGGCGAGCCCAAACAAGGGTCGTCACCACTTCCGCGAATTTGGCATTGAAGGCCTTACGCCACGGTCTCACTATAATGTAGTGATTACCGATCATCCATGGCCCACCCATGGAATCTTTCTCATAGTCCATTTGATTCCTGAAGTGAATACTATAGAACCCATACGAAAGGCTAGAAATTTGGATAGTTCCAGTTTTTGCCCAAATTGTTTCTAGCCGTTTCGAGATGATGGGGAAGGGAAACGTGTGACCCTGCACCTTCACAATGAGTGTTGACCTCCAGGTTCGCCGATATCTCTCCTTTTCCAAAGCTTTGAAAGTGATAGTGGGACAATGAGGGTTATCATCCTCGGGTATTTTATCGTCCAGTTCATCCTCGCTCATGGTTCCACCACATCCTCGGAGTCAGACTACGCTACATACCATTCCTCCTTAGTGAGGACGGTTGAAAAGAGCTTCCACGCTCCTACGCCCCATGCCAATGGCAGGGTATTGTTTCCAGGGTCGCCCTCCTTATTCTGCTCATGAAACTTCTCGCCGAGTACATGTTCCTCCTCCATTGTTTGCGTGACGAAGAGAGGGTTAGGACACACCGCCTTCACGTTGTTGCGATTCTTTTTCCACTTACTGTTCGGAGATGACGTTGTCGAGGGAGGGCGACGTTGTCCAGATTTTGTGTCCAGCGACGGGGCTATCGGGAGGTACCCCACTATTTCACATGTTTTTTTTTTTTGGATGATCTCCTGTTGTTTTTAGAATCTACACAATACAAGTGGTAGTAGTTCTAGAAAAGAATGCATACAGACTTCAAAGTTAGGATAACAGTTTGGTTATGGCATCCCTGGTGTGTAGGTTTTGGGGAGGTGTTGTACTCCATGGGAATATGTTATCTTTTGGTCGAAAGGGTAACACATGCTTTGTCCTTCCTTAATAGGATAAGCCAAAGGATCCTAGCCTTGAGTATATTAATCTCACCCAACACCATCACCAACACGAGGCAACTAGAATTGGGAACTATGGTGTCGTGTTGAGACATGGACGTGGGGTGGAGACCGACACCACAAGGTCGGGTCACAGTTAATTCAGATGGTTCTTTCCTACCATCAACTTGACAAGATTGGCAGGATCTCTTATTGGGTTGGGGGGGGGGGGGAGGTGCGCTACACCATCTATGAATTTTTCCATCACTCGCCCAGAGCTCTAATAAGCTAATGTGGGTTTCCAGGTGGCCTCATAGCTTGGACATCAGAGGGTAGCTCTGATGATAGATTCACCAATGGTACTATCCATCCCGCAAGTGAAGGGTGATCCATCACATCAGAGAGTGAGTTTAGTGCTTCATTTTCATAACCTTCTATCGAGAGAGTGGGAGGTAAGTCTCTCTCGTGCGTTTAGGGAAGGGCATTGTTTCACCCATTGTTTGGCTCATATGACTTTTTAAATATTTTTTGGTTCTCAATTCTCACTCTCTCTTTTTTTTTTTTGTAGAAAATTCTCACTCTATTTCTGAGTAGAACCCTGAAATCCGTCATTATGAGTGTTTCTTTAAGCCGACATATAATATTACAATGTAGCGGTGGTTCACACCTTTTTTATATATACGAAATACAATTTTAAACAATTTCATAACAATTCTTGAACATCAAGCTTGGGTCTTTTTTTTACAAAAGGTAATCATATATTGATTTAAAGAGAGATAGTTACATCTTTGAGTTAAGCCAGGTCTGAAAATCAAAGAAACGACGCATAGTCGGGCACAATGTAAAGGCCTTTCTAGCCACCACATGGGCTAAACTATTGCTACGTTGACCTACAAATTGAACACTAAACCCAGAGTAATCGGCAAGGTACTGCACAATTTCTTCAAGAATAGCCCCTATCCTACTATCTCTGGTATCCGCCTGATTGATCTTATCAATTACTACTTTGGCATCTCCTTCGAACCTCACTTCTGTGAAGCCATAGTTCAGACACCATAAAATATCCTCCCGAAGTGCGAGCAGCTCTACCACCAAAGGAATAATCAACGAAAATTGAATTCCCTGAACCATAAGGAGCTCCCAATTGAGATTCAGAAGAACCATCCTGCTTGTCGAATGAGACCAGACCTTGTCGCCCCATCCCACATACAAACAAACATATTAAATCCCCCAGGACCCATGGGTTGTATCGAGGGAGAGGGAATTTGAGATATTCGATCCACCGACAGATTTTCCCACTCCTCACATTGTTGGCGAAATTGGCGCATCAAGGCAGGGATCCCAAACTGTTTACCCTCAAAACAACCTAGTTATGAGACCGCCAAATCCTCCAGAGGAAAGCAACAACCATCATGAAAAGAGAAGGTTGATGTATTAAGGACATCAACCTTTTTAAGAATAGTGGGAATGTATGACGAGGTAGACATTGTCCAAGATGCTCCAGACCTGAGTAGTCCCAAAGGGCGTGGGCCACTGGGCAGTCAAGAAACAAGTGTTCCATTGTTTCCGACTCACCCCAACACACCGAGCATCGAGGAAGCACTGGGACATCCTTCTCTATGAGAGCTTTAGTAGTTGGCAGGATTTTATGAAAGATTTGCTAGACGAATACTTTCAATTTGGGCAAAATATTAGCCTCCCATAAACGAATCCAACTGGCCCTATCCATCCAGCTAGCCATAGACCTCCAACGACCATTCCGTTTATCAAGATAGACAACAAAATGGTAGGCTGATTTAACAGTGAACACCCCATCCGCCGTGCCATGCCAGATAAGTCTATCCTCCACATTATGACGCAGAAGAGGAATAGCTTTGATGGCCCAGCACCTAGGCGGATAAAATCACTGCCCTAGTTTTACATCGCACCAACGCCCCTCCCCCTGGCAGATGATCTCAGCAACCAGCAGGTCACCCCCATTGGGTCACACCTGGGGATTAGACATTGGAGGGTAGGAATGCAGCCGAGGTATCCAGTTGGAATAGAGAAGATACGCAGACTGGCCATTACCAATTTGCCATCTTAACCCCATATCTAGTAACTGCCGCCCATAGAGGATACTCTGCCATCCACAGGACGGCCGAGAGCCGGTCTTAGCTTGGAGAAAGGTCCTAGTCGTAAAATATTTCCCTTTGTAAATCTGGGCTAAAAGAGACTGGATTTCATTAAGGATACACCATCCGATTTTGGCTAATAATGCCCTATTAAAATGCTCAAATCGGCGAAATCCCATACCCCCATCATGCTTGCTCCTACACATATTACGCCAAAAAATCCAACGAATCCTCGACTGACCTTCATCCACACCCCACCAGAAGCGGGCTACATGTTTGTCCAAGAGTCGACACAAAGATAGAGGTAGCTTGAAGCATGACATCACATGCAGCAGCAAAGCTAAGGCGATGGATTTGATCAAGGTTTCCTTACCAGCCCATGATAACGTCCTCTACTTCGAACCCTGTAATCTCTCTAGCAACTTCTCCTCCAAATAGCGAAAGGTAGCCATTTTTGACCGGACAATAAGAGTAGGTAACCCCATATATTTATCATGGACTCCCACCTCCCCGACTCCCAGAATCTGAGCCAAAAACTCTTGGTCTGGTATGGCAGCATTCTTGCTAAAACATACTGCCAATTTTGCTAAGTTCACCCTCTGGCCACTCATATCCTCATACTCATTTAACACTTCAATCAAATTCTCACATTCTTGGAGAGAACCTCGAAGGAATAAATAAGAATCATCCGCAAAAAACAGATGAAAAATACAAGGAGCACGAGGGGCTACTTTTACCCCTTCAAGTTTCCCAGCCTCTATTGTTTTGCTAAGGAGGGCCACAAATCCCTCCGTATAGATCACAAACAAAAAAGGAGAGAGGGGGTCCCCTTGTCGGAGTCCCTTGGAGGGAGTGAAAAAACCCGAAGTAGTGTCATTCATGAGGATTGAAAACAATGTTGATGATTGGAGGCATTCATGTATCCGTCCTCTCCAAACGGAGTTAAATCCCATGTTCTCCAAAACCGCTAGCAAAAAAGGCCATTCGACTCTATCATAGGCATTTTCCATGTCAACCTTCAGAGCCATGTACCCTTTCTTGTCGCGTGTTTTGATTTTTCAAATAGTGCATTAACTCATGACCAATGAGAATATTATCAACGATTTGCCTCTCACGGATGAAAGCATTTTTTCATTAGGAGACCATCTGAGGTAAGAGGCCAACAAGCCTTTCAGCCATGATCTTAGTAATGATCTTGTAAAAAAACTGGCACAGATTGATTGGTCGAAGTTGTCGCATAGTCTCAACATTATCTACCTTGGGTATTAAGGTCAACCACGTATGATTAAAGCTCCGGAACATTCTACTCGTTTCTAATATTGAACAGACAGCTTCAACCACCGAGTTTCCAACAATGTCCCAGAAGGATTTAATTTTTTTTCCAGTGAACCGATCGGATCCCGGTGGGTGTTTCGATCCCATTGAGAAGACCGTTTTTTGCACTTCGTTAGGTAGAACCTCCGCCGTAAGAATTTCATTCATTAACGGGGTAACACTATGAGAAATGGGAAGGGCAGCCACACATTCATCCATGTTTAGCACATGGTTCTCCGAGGTGAAGAGATTTTGATAGAAAGAACTGGCCATGTTTGCCTATAAATAAAGAGATAATAAAATGAAACGACGGAAGTTTCTTTGAATGGAGTGGGTAGACCAAAATATACTTGGTTCAAATAAAAGTTACTGGGAGCAGAAGGTTCCAATCCTCCAATGCCTAGGATACTTTATGGCTACAATCTCTGGCCCTGCATAGTCTATTTTACTCCCAACCTTATACTATGCTTAGCTAAAAATCCACAATCGAGAGTTACAATTAAGAAATCTTGATCGACAAAAAACCTAAATCAAGTATATAAATTTTTAGAAATGTCTTGATTATCGTGATTGAGAAATTTATTCATGATCAAGTTATACATAATTTTTAGTATATTAATATTATTATCAATGTGGACCCATGGCCCCTAAAATTAGGGGGAAATATTAATGACTACCTTCAATCGTAGTTCGAGTTTAGAGTAGTGGCAAATTCATGATTTTTAAGGGTGCTCAAAATACTCATAAAATTAGAGGTGGGGGAAATTATCAACCCTCTCATATTAGTTTGAGTTGGAGGAAAAAGATAAAGTAAAGAGAAAGTATCTTTGTGCTTCATTACACTACAAATCATTTAACCTTATGTTTAAAATATAAAAATGTAATTATCGTTGTTCACACCTAAAGTTATTTTGGTTTAAATTAAATACGATATTTATTTTTTTTCTTTTTGCCAGAGGTATCCCACAAGGGAAAACAACAGAGATACGAGAATATGTAGGACCTTTACAGGTCAAATCACAAAGGAGGAAAAGGGAAGAAGCGGTGGACGATCTAACAATGAGAGGGTTCTTTTTGTCACGATATGGGCAACTCTATTATACTTACATTCGACTAGAATCCATGACTGAGCTTCAACCCATTCAGGGTGAAAGTTATGAATCTAACCCAAGCTGTCAGATGAGAGCAAGGCAATGACACCATAAAATTAGG